TCTTCTCTTTGCTTCTTATATTATCTTTGGAATATGTTTCAATTAAAATAATTGTATTATGTTTATATCTTAATGATGAATGTATTAATGCACAGCATTACTTCATATTATGTTATATTATATTATGTTTTATTCATACGTTATGTCGCGATACGAATTCTATGTTATTAAATATAGTTCGATTTATGCCGGGTTTGGAGTTATTTTCATCAAGAGAATCTCCTACATTTATTCCTAACATTCTTAAGAAAGTACACTGAAAGGAGTAAAGGTTTAAATTTTTATTCATGAGTGATTCATTCCGTGTATTACATTATAACCCGAGGGCCCGAGGGTCGGTTGCCGGCGGTCAGATAACATCTCTACGCGCCGAGGCTACGAGCTTCGAGTGTCAGAGCCTCGGGTCTCCCCTGACAACATAAATCAGTCAGTTGGGCTCGTTCGAGTAGCTCGAACAAGCTCGAACACCGAGGCTCGGTTACCCATCACTACCCACAGGTGCCGGCACTATGATTACCCGCGACGAAACTCCTTGTCACCGGCGACGATTGCCGAATTCGCCACGACAATCGTCGAACTTCGCGGCGAGCCGCGCGGTACGAGCTCGCCGCGACGACGCTAGCTTCTCGGCGCGCATTACGTCACGCCGCGGCCCAGCCAATCCTGAACAGTGTGTCCCAAAAATGTCCTCCGATCCGGAAATGGGGCACTCGGGGGGTGAATTGGAACAACTTTTTCCTTAGCAACAATGTAATCTGAGGCTTCGTTACCGGGATATTAACGAAAAACTGCGACCAATCAAAGCGCGAGTTTGCCAGCCGAGTTCCCGCGCTAGCGGTCTACGTCCTACGCTTGTACTACGAAGCTTCAAACAAGTAGGGCAGCACGTATCGCAGGAAACTGCGTATAATAGCAAATAAAAAAGACGTAACAAATAAGATCATACTTTTTATCATCTGCCGTTTGTTATTTAAAGAGATTAATGAATAAAACGTAAATGCAGGCAAAGTATGTGTAACGTAAAAAGACGAATGCACATTTCCTTTTTTGTAAATTCCTTCTTACGAATTTGTAAATTTGCTTTTCAAATAACGTGTGAACGAAAAGGTAATGTAACAGAGAATGAACGAGAAGTGATCGTAGTTCGGTATTGGTATAAAAATTCATAGTTTAATAACGGTCATATAAGTTTCTTCAAAAAGCCCGAAGAAAAAGTTAGGTGCAGAAACTTGCAGAATTATTGCTGGAAATAAGCCATAGCTTGCGTTCAATTAAAAGAATAGTAATCAACAATAAATTGATTAGAATTCACCCTTTCAGAAATTCACCTGCAGTATGCAAACCTGTGTCACTAGGTCACTGAACCGATCCTGGTCATCGACGGCCGAAACGGTTTATGGCAGGGTATCGCCCAGTTCGCAGGTGATCGCAGGTATACCTCACCAGCCGAAGTTAAGGGTTG